GGCTGGGATGTCGCGGACATCCGGCTCAGGCACCGCCAGGAGTGGAGCGCCTATCAGAAAGTCACCCGGCGTTAATGCAATCTTCTCCTGCGGGTCGTCATACAGCGGGGTGATAGGACGCGAGTTCAGGCATGCCTCGATGCGCACAGCCAGAGTCTGCAATTGACTGTACCACATAGTTTGCGCGCCCACGCAGCGGACCAAATGATGTTTGGCACTCTTGACCGCCGCCTCGCAGAGGCCACCTTGGTGCGGAGCACCGGGTGTGATGAAGTGCCAATTAGTGCCCATGCTGGCCAATGCCCGGTGATTGCTTTCGCTGTGCCACGCCACGAAGTCCTCCTGGAGAAGACGGTTAGCACCAACGAACGCGGTGCCATTATCGCTATATAGGTCACGGCAAGGGCCACGACGGCTGACGAAGCGAGTGAAGGCGTCGAGGAAAGCTTGCGCCGATAAGTCGTCCACCACTTCTATATGGACGGCTTTAGTAACATGCAGATGAAGATTGCGAGATACGTCTTTACGAGAGTGCGAGAGCGCTTAGTTCCGATTCGCAGCGTAAACGGGCCGCAGTAGTCGACTCCCGACGAAACAAATGGTCGTGCAGGCTTGACTCTCTGCCCGGGTAATGGAGCCATTTGCTGCTTGAACATCAGTCCTCGATGAAGACGACACACTACGCATTTATGAACAAAACTCTTGACGGCTTGGCTCGCATGCGGAATCCAAAACTTGCGGCGAAGGGAATGTAGCATTAGCTGCGCCCCTCCATGGAGCGTAGTCTCTTGGGCTTGTTTTATTAAAAGCTTAACGAGCGGGGTAGACTTCGGAAGAATCAATGGAAATCGCTGGTCATGTCCTAACTCTGCGTTTTCGATCCGCCCTCCGACGCGCAGGATGTGGTTCTTATCTTGGAATGGATTTAGTGAGAGCAATGGCGTGGAAGATGACAAACCTGAACCGGCTTCCAGCTGCTTAATCTCGACCATGAAGTGCGTCTGTTGGTCAAGACGGATCAGTACTTCCAAGGCGTCGTCCATTTCCCGAGCTCCTATGACCGCTTGACGGAAATGTCGGCGTCTCTGCAACCAACGTAGAATAATAGCTACTGTGCGCAGTAATCGCTGAATCGAGCTAAAGCGTTCTGCTAATAACATGACCTGCCCATCTGGTCTCCGAGTCTCCAGTGGCTCGTGAAGAAGTGCGCTGGTAAAGCTCGAAACGATTCGCGCCTCTGAACTGAGCGCCTTAGATTCGTCGTGGCTGAGGGGGATCTCTTCGCTACCTAGGTACGCGTCTGTACCATCAGGTCCATGCCACCAAAGCGGGTGGCTCATCAGCTCCTCGAGTGATATGCCTCGGCTAGCACAATCGGCAGGGTTCATTGCTGAGCGGACGTGATGCCATCTATCTGCGGAAGTCAACTCCTGGATCCTTCGGACCAGATTCGAGACAAATGGTTTCAATGTGGTATGTTGTTTCTTCAACCAGCATAAACCGATCGCAGAGTCCGACCATAAGAAGTATGGGGCTTCAACCAAACTCAAGGCTTCACGTACATTTCGAAGAGTCTCGGCCAACAACAGCGCTGCCGAAAGCCCAAGGCGTGGTATTGTAGCGCCATTCAGTGGAGCCACCTTGGTTCGCGCGGTAAGGAGTGAGAAACGCACAATGCCATCAGCGTCGGCTGTGCCCGTGTAAATAACGGCCGCGTAAGCATGTGAACTGGCATCGCAAAAGCCATGCAATGTTGTCGGAGCATGTGGCACCATACCCAACCATCGGCCAATGCGGATTTTACTAAGGACTCCCAGCTTGGAGCGGTAATTGAGCCATTCATCACGAAGATCGTCAGGTAACGGCGAGTCCCATGACAGACCGGCAGCCCACATCTTTTGGATAAAAATCTTCCCTGTTATGACAACTGGGGATAACACCCCTGTGGGATCAAACAACCGAACACTTCACTGAGCACGCGTCGCTTCGTAGGAGCCTGACTGGACTGGCTAAGCTCGACTTGAAAGAACAGCTGGTCAGCCACGGGGTCCCATCTCAAACCCAATACCGGGGCCACAGACGTATTGAATGCATACCTAGGGAGAGACGGATTACTGGATAAACACAACAATACCTGAATGTCATTTGAGTTCCATTTCCGAAGTTTAAACTGCCCAGCAGCCAGAACTGCCTCTACATTATTGGCCAGCTCAACGGCCTTGGTAGCGTCCTCGCAGCTTGTCAAGAAATCATCGACGTAGAATGCATTCAAAATTGCTTCTCGGGCTTCAGTCGCTTGGTGCTCATCAGGAACTGCGTGGTAATTGTCATTCGCGCATTGTTGCAATGCACGTACTGCGTCGTATGGACTACAAGCCATGCCATAAGTGACGGTTTTCAGCCGGTATACTGCAAGCTCGTCCGAGGGGTATTCGCGCCATATTATTCGCTGGTAATCTCGATGCGCTGTTGCAACCAGGACCTGCCGGAACATCTTTTCAATGTCCGCAGTTACCGCCACTCGATAACGCCGAAAGCGGAAAAGTATGTTGATCAGCGGGTCTTGAAGCGTTGGGCCCACCAGCTGGATGTCGTTGAGGGACACGCCCGTAGTAGTCGGCGCCGAAGCATTAAACACCACTCGAAACTTCACAGCGACCGCATGATGTGGGATGTAGTAGCAACCGCTATGATTGTGTGGTGGCTCCACTCGCTCCATATGATCAAGCTCCGCATATTCCCTCATAAAGCTCACGTATTTTTCCCTTAGACTAGGATCCGCAATCAGACGGCGTTCGAGCCAATAGAATTGTCGCGCAGGGTATGCATAGGAGTCACCAAGTTCTGGGACCTTGCGCCGCAAAGAAAGTTGCACTACATAACGACCATCGGGGGTACGGCCATGCGTAGTTTCAAATATCTGCCCGCACTCGTCATCATGCAACTCTTCAGTAGCCGGAGCTTCCTCCATCTTCCAAAAGTTCCGGACCAGATCTTCCAGACGAACCTCTTTCTCACCTAGCAACGCGCTGACTGTGAGCGAGGACAAGTTCGATGTGGACGCCGATGACACCNAGCTTCCTCCATCTTCCAAAAGTTCCAGACCAGATCTTCCAGACGAACCTCTTTCTCACCTAGCAACGCGCTGACTGTGAGCGGGGACAAGTTCGAAGTGGACGCCGATGACACCGGGCCGAATACTACCCAACCAAGACGGGTACGCTGGGCGAAGGGCTCGTCTGGTCTTCCACCGATAACTTCGCCCTCTACAACTCTCCCCCACACGTCCGCGCCGATTAGAACCTCAATACTTCCAGGTGTACCAAACTCACTATCTGCATAATGTAGTCCTTTCAAGTGTGGCCGCTGGGTGACGTCAACCTTAACTGCAGGAGTCAGCGAAGTGATGGACCGCAAAACCAGTGCTTCAATTTGCATCTCAAATACTGTAATTGTTTACCGTAAAGTGATCGTTACGTTTCCTTTGGCTCGGGTGCTGACTGTAGCTCCAACACCTTCCACCCTCACATTACATTTACGTCGATATAATTTCAACGAGTTTGCCAAGCGATCCGTGACGAAACTAACCTGCGATCCAGGATCGCACAAGATACGAGCCACACGCTGAACTGATGCTTCTCCATATGCATATGCGCGCGCTGTTGCAAGGAGAGTGACAGCTGGGAATTGGGCAAATTCGAAGTGGGGCAGTTGGGTCCATTACCACTTACTATGGCCATAGGAGCCCCTCTGGATGACGCAACTAAGCGGTTAATTCTGCTGCATGCCTCGCCATATAACCGCTCGACGTTTTCCCACAACACATCGTGTGGACCAATCTCTTCTCCTGACGCTGCTCCCACAAGATGGTTGTGATTATCCACAAATCTCACAAAATGCGACTCGAGTGATCTCAACTCCTGCTCGAGCTGGTACACATCCCAGGTCTCAATGGTGGCTTCGGAAACACGCGCATGTATGCGCTTAATCGCTTTCACGGCAGATGAACGCAAATTCATTTCCGCCATACCGTGCTTGTACACAACTTACTTCTTCTTTTTTGTCCTCACAGGAGGCACCAACATGTTAGAGATTGAAAAGACTGCAACTCCGCTTGATGTGATGTGTGCTACTCGCACGTTTATTTCAATAAAATAGAAAGAAACTATATTCCTAGGTTGGCTTTTATACAAAATTCCTTGATGGTAGAATACCGTATTTCGTGAAAATAGAAAATAACAAGATGTCAAATTACTCAACTATCGATTGTTTAGGGCTGCCAACTAAAGCATGTACAAATGTTATGGTCAGTTTACACCAGGTATATGTATACAACTTAAATAGTAGGCTTAACTAGCGCAATCCACAACAGATTATAAAGGTACATTATTTAGCTTAGTTTAGGAATATTTAAAGAAAAGAAAAACTCCCATGATTCGCAGACTTTCGCATATATGCTTGTTTCCATGAAAATGTAAACCAAAAATGCAAGCAAATGAATTCAAACGGCTTTATAACTTTAAATTTCGTATTCATATGGCGGAAACAGGTTTTTAAAACGCGAAACGGTGGAGAGAAGAACTGAAAAAATTTAATTTAGTATGTGTTACTATTAAAAATATTGTATGGAGGAAAAATATGTCGCGTACGTTATTATATTTTTTTTTAATAAAAACTAACCAGAGATAATTTCTATCAAAAATGGAAGTATTGTAAAGGTACATTATTTAGCTTTGTTTAGGAATTTTTAAAGAAAAGAAAAACTCTCATGATTCGCAGACTTTCGCATATATGTATATGTGCCTTAAAACCACTTCTTTCCACTTTTCCACACCAAAGTTTCGAGGCTGCTTATTTTTTTCTCAAACATAGTACCCTTTGGTTGCAACATAACCGTAATCCTTTTTTTCAGTAACTTCTATTTTTGATAGATTTACGTTACTCTATAAGCGTACGAATGTCGCGTACGGCTGTATGGAAACACCCATATGCATTATTTCGGGTTTGAACCGAAACTCTGCATGTATGCATTACTTCATATTTCTCTCATATGCGTTATTTCGGTTTTCAAACGAAAGTGTGCATGTATGCAATATTTGGGTTTTTTTCATATGCACTAAAAAATAGGTACACTTTCAAAATAGAAATTTTAATTTTTAAATTTGTGAGCACACCCATGATAAAAATATAGTAAGGTAGAACCGCTGAGAGTTACTTTTAAAATTCTTGACGTTTCCAAACATTTTAATTTTTAAATTTACTCCCAAACTCACATACACATTTTCACTTTCAATCTCAAGCAACAACAATTTCAGTTTTTTATTTTCAATATTATATGATTTTAAAATGCTGGAAAACTTAAAAAAAAATCATGGCCGAAAAATTGAAAGAACGGTTCTACCTTGCTATGTTTTTATCATGAGCACACCTATGTTTTATATATCATTTTATTCGTAATCTCTTAATAAATCGATTAATATAAGCGTAATTCATTTTTATCAAGTGCTTCAAAAGTTAGACGAGGAATAAACATGAAATAGAAAACAAAAGAATAAGCTGAGTTCAAATTACGCTGTTCAAGTTGTAAACTTTGAGCAAATATTTCGAAAGTTGAACTCACTTAATTGGGACGTTCAAAATTCAATGGCATGCCCCGATTTACCAGATTGGCTCCGGTTTTCGAGATAATGGTACTTGAAAATTTGATTAAATTTTAACTATTTTATAAATAACTCCCTCAGTTTTGAAGTTATTTTACTAAAATTTTGCAACAGTGTTTTAATATTACCTTAATTATTTCTTAAAGTTATCGAAATAGGTTCACATTAACATGTAGCTCCAATACAACTTATTACTCAGATATGTATTTTTGCGCTATAACTCTAACTTCCTACCAGAATAATAAATTGTATGCGTGCTATATGTTAAATTGAACCTATACTAAATTTTAACCTGTTTAATTGGAGGAGTTATAACGCAAAACAACGTCTCTGAGCTAGATGTTTTAGTGAACCGATTTCGATGATTTTATGGAATAGTTAAGGTAATATTAAAAAACGGTTATGTGCAAAATTTTAAAGTAAGTAAAGTATCTTCTAAAGTCAGGGACTATTTTATAAAATAATTAAAATTTAAGCAAAGTTTCAAGTGAAGTGTGTCCAAAGTAATTGTTTGTAGAATACAATACATACTTAAAAAGTTCTTAAAATTAAATGCTTCAAAACCTATACACATTAAACCGAAAATTTTGAAAATTGTGAAATGTGGCGCTACAGACTTTGAGTTACTTGCCATTTCGTTATTTTTTAATGCACACTTTTCTTACCTACTGCATATGAAGTGTGCACATAAGTGCTAAATGCCCACTTAATTTAAAATCAGAATATGGTGTGCTTCAAAAGTTGTGACATAATTAATGTGCCCTTCTTAAAAATTACATAAAAAATTCACTTGTTTTCATTATTTTTTTTAATTTAAACACCGATATTTCAAAAGTTATGCAGCAAATTGATCCAAATTTTTTTTGAGGCTTCAAGTATGCGTCAATGAATTATACAAAAGCAACCCGCTTGATTTAGTTTACAACAGTGAAAATAAAGCTAAACAACACAAAGGTTACCTGTTTTTTAGATTTGCCCATCTGCATAATTTCGGTTTTTCTAATGGCACCCTGAAATTGTGCTTACATATAAAAAAAACCCGAAATAATGCATACGAAAAAACCGAAATAATGCATATATGCACAGTTTCGGTTGAAAACCGAAATAATGCATATGAAAAAAAAAACCGAAATAATGCATATATGCACAGTTTCGGTTGAAAACCGAAATAATGCATATGAAAAAAACCGAAATAATGCATACATGCACACTTTCGTTTGGAAACCGAAATAACGCATATGAGAAAAACGATTTAATGCATACATGCACAGTTTCGACTCAAAACCGAAATAATGCATATGACAAAAACCGCTTAGCGATTATAACCTTGCTAAGTAGAACTCTCCTTTCTATGTTGCCGGAAAAGAAGGGCGGAAGTATTTTTGAGCAGAAATTCTCTCTGCGTAGGCGGCTTTCGGCCACGCTTAGGGATTAAAAGCCTTACTAGAAAGTAGAAGTAAATAATTCATATTAGAAAAAACGAAATTATCCATATGCACACTTTCATTAGAAAACCGAAATAATGCATATGACAAAAACCGCTTAGCGATTATAACCTTGCTAAGTAGAACTCTCCTTTCTGTGTTGCCGGAAAAGAAGGGCGGAAGTATTTTTGAGCAGAAATTCTCTCTGCGTAGGCGGCTTTCGGCCACGCTTAGGGATTAAAAGCCTTACTAGAAAGTAGAAGTAAATAATTCATATTAGAAAAAACGAAATTATCCATATGCACACTTTCATTAGAAAACCGAAATAATGCATGCATGCACAATTTCGGTTCACAACCGAAATAATGCATATGTGAAAGACGAAGGTATGCATACATGCTAGAGATGGGCACGGGCCTAAATTTTCAGGCCCGGCCCGACACGAGTGCAAAATCAACTTTCAAAAACACGCACAAGCCCGCACGTTAAGAATTTTAGTGGAGCCCGGCCCGGCCCGGAAATAAAGAGCCAACTTTTATTGTAGATTTTTATAATATATTTTCTAGGAAGTAGAAAAAGTGGAAGGTATTTTATGTACAGATATGTATGTAAACAAAACTACTAAGTATCATATATTTTCTATCGGTTTCCAAATATTTCTTTTTTTGCTTTTCTCTTATCAAAAGAGTTTTAAATATGTACTATTTTTTTTTGTATAAAAACAAAAGCTCATCTAAATTTTTAGTATTAGCAACGGGCTTTTTCGTGTCTTTTCGTGCTTTTATGAAATTTTACTGAACGCCCAGGCCCGCACGAGTTCGTGCTGACAGCAAATATTCCGGCCCGTACCCGTGGGCTTACGCAGGGGCCCGTCGGGCCCCTGCCAA